ACATGTGAAGAATTTTGAGAAATTGCCTCAAGGACTTTTATAATTGGTCTAAGAGGTAGGGTTGTTCCAAATCGAATTTGATAATAAATGTATATTTGTATCATTCGGTAATATAAAGTCCTTGACTTAGGACTTAATTTTATAGTACTTTTATTTATGATTGTTTCAAACTTCTGGCTATTCTACAAACTAGTCAATGTTTGTTTTTGAGTAAGATATAATTTTTCAACTCATGTACATGACTCTTTTGGTCCGTCACTTTTTTCTAAGTGATTTTTAATATTTTTTTGTGTCAAACCTTAATGATTAATGACCAATAAATTGATATCGAACTTCAAAACCAAACTGAACGGATAAATCGAATTGAAGAACTTCAAAATCGAACCGAATTGACCGATACACAACCCTAATACTACCAAACGATAACCAATTAGTCGAATTAATAAACTTCAAAACAAATCGAACTAATCAATATACATCTCCATTACAAATCAATAGCCGATAAATCGTACCAATAAACTTTAAATCATAACCAACCGATATGGAGCACTAGAAAAAGGTCTGACGTTGAAGATTGTACATATAATAAAGTTTCACGCATTTGGCATACATGTTACTGTTAGAAAAATACTAAAAATACCCAAAGAGACACAGATAGTAAACCTTATTCTAATCACGTGTGGATTTATTGGAAAGATACAGGGAATATAATTAATTGTCTTTCTATTTAGACAAATACTGGCTGGATAAAAAAAATAAAACGAATCTGTACATGTTCACATGATAGGTAAAGAAACAAATACAGTTAACTATATTATTACAAAAAGTTGAACTTAAAAGTGCACGTAATGACGCTATGGACAAATATTTTCTTTAAACCGAATTTCAATCTTCCAATAAGGACAGATGGATATGTGATATTAAATATGTCTGAGTGGTAAAGTTAATTTATGAAAAATCATTCAGTTTATTTATTAACTTAATTTATTTGATAAGTTCTATTCAATTTATCTAAAAGTTAAATTGATTTGAACTAAATGAATATATAGATCAAATTTGATCTATGAGATTTTTATATATATTTTTTTAATCAAAGATCTATCAGAACAACGTCTCTATCAGTACCATAGTGGTAGGAATGCATTATATTAAAAGAATAAAAAATAAAAAGATGATGAGTTTGTACAATGATTTAATTTGCAAACAGTGGACCATAGGGCATTGATTTTGTAGAGACTTTCAAGGTAAGGCAATATCCAAGAAACTTAACCATGTAAATGTATTATAAAAAAATGACCAACTTTTACAAATGCCACCAAATCCCATGTGCCATAATTGCAATCACCATTACATGAATTTTTAGCTATGCTCTTGTAGAAACGAAAAATACACAAGTTGTTTGAAAAAGTCAATTATACACTTTATTTCAAATGGAACTACTAATAAGATATCAAAATCTGACTTTCATAACGAGGTAACTCTATCCAATGGTGGATGCAATTTATGTGATGAATTTAACTAAATCTAATTTTTTTCTACTGAATATAGATCTCCATGTGAATATCATAAAAATAATAATCAATAATATAAGATTTGAAACACGCGATTATAGCTAAAACCAAAAAGATTATGAGTTAGACCCTAAAATTTAAATCTTAGATTCACCCAAACATAACTTTTTTTAGAAACACACGATTAAAGCTAAAAGCAGAAAGATTAATGAGGCTTGGCAATAACAACTAAAAATAAAGAAGTAATAATACACATGTTTGCTTTGCTGTAACGGCAAAGGTAGGAACTGGTAAACAGAGATAAACATTAGCTAGCATTAGTCAAATGTTTTGATAGTACCAGGACCCAACTTGCCGCGATCAGTGGCCATGTTCGTGTCCTTGTCTGTCAAAAAACTAACATGCCAATCAAAAGAAAAGAACTTTGGACTCATGCTTAGACAGCCATTATTAACAAGAAGAAAAAAACATTATATACGCAGTATAGTTCCACAAGTGGGGTTCAAAGAAGGTTGTGAACAAACTTTATCATTACCTTTTTTCTTGTGGAAGAGTTGTTTTCGATAGACTCTGAGTTAAGAAATGCAAGAGTGACTAAGATCAACATCAAAATTGACATGTTGATGATTGTGTTTGATTTAATAAAATGTCTAAAAGATATCCCCATGGGACTAACCGACACAAGGCGCAAAGATCAACAACCTAGAGGGCATCTATTACTGAACTTATTGAACACAGACGTTTTAACAAATTTCATGTGGTGTGACTGCTATTGTATTAAAAGGAACACGAAAAAGAAAGGATTTATGGATAATGTTACAGGCTTACAGCTTAAAAAGAACTGTATACAAGTATTGGGGAATTCTGCCCCAATACTAACTCCATGGGGTTTGATTTTACAACAAAATGACCCAAAAGTTGTCTACTTTTTTTTGGGCTGTGGGGGGTAGGGTAGGGGGTAGTACTACACTTTTGGTCTCAAAGCCAAGAATTAACTGTTTACTATGAATAATGAATCTAATGTCCTGATTTGAATGAAGTTGTGTCAACAATCTTCAACCGAGTTGCAGCATTAAGCATGCCAATTTGGCAGACGGAAGAACAACTCCATTTCTAGAACGACATCCCAAGAATTCACGTTCATTAGGAATGATACCACATCATCTTTTCATGACAAATTCTGGATTTCCATGCAAAAATGCCAGCTATACGCCCTCAAATGGTTCTTAGTCCTTAGAGGCACAAGTGGAATGGATCTCTGCTACCTTTCAGCTCATCAAAAGGAAAAGAGGAGGCCTTCAAGCAATCGAAGTTTAATCCAGTTCCCAGAGTAAATTAAGATCATGCTCTTTTGAAGTCAAATTCGACTGAACTATGTTTTAAATAATGAAGGATACATCACTAATATATCATAGCAACTTGTAAAACCTAATCTCTCATAGTCCCTTACTCTCTCGCACCTACTCAACCAAGCAGAAACAACAAATTGCATGCGTCAAAGATAACCCAAAAGATAACAGCAATTTAACACCAACTAATGTAAGGAAAGAAAGTAGGCATTGCAGTAATCATAACAGCTAGAAACAAGTAGCCAGGAGCTTTGTTACTTAAGGTCTTCATGATGGATATATAAAACAAAAAAATGATGGATGTAAACCATGGAATGGAAACCACGGGCTCAGACTGGACAGTAAGCCCCAGTACTTTGGTAAGCTACTCAACCCTTTCTAGCCCCAGAGCAACAAAGACAACTACCTCAAACACACAAACATTTTCATGAACTTCCTGCCCTCCTAAGTTGGATAAAATGTCTGATTCTCTAACCATCTAGCTACCTTAGCATGACATCTACCTCTGGCATGGACCTCCTGAATTAGCTTTATGAGTTGCTCCACTATTCTTTGTTGTTGCTGGAAGACGCTAATGTTCCTTTAATCCTTTCCATCCACAGATGGTAAATGGCAGCAGCAAGTAGCATCCTGTAAACTTCTCGACCACTCTTTTCCTTAGCATATGTTGTAGCCCATGATAGTTCAAAGTCCCACTCTCCAGGCACCCGAGATATTCCAAACCAGTAAAGAAGTTTCTTCCACACATGAGCAGATACTGAGCAAGCAAATAAGAGGTGAGAGTGGCTTCATCAGCCATAGTACACAAAGGGAAGCTAGGATCCACAACCATCCCCCATTTTAGCAATCTGTCCCTGATATATAATGTGTGCAAAGCAGTTAATCTCAAGATGAATATCCATCTAGGTGAACCGATGTTGTTGCACACCAACCTTCTGAAATTCCCCCCTGTGCTTCAACTAAACCTGTTTGACTGAGAAATGCTCCACCTCCTTTAATTCAGTCATGCTACCCCAGTTTCTCCCACATACTAGATCAAGTGGGATTCATAACACCACTCTCCAGCCTCTTGTTGGAAAGGTTTTTTGGAAACATCTTATGCAACTTTCATGCTAAGCAGAAACTCGGATACATGAGATTTCCACACAAAACCAAAAGCATCAGCATGCAAGAGGCCCCAGCAAAACAGATAGATAGGGAGGAGTCTGCATATCTAACTTAGCCAATAGTGCATAATTTTGAAAATTTAACTGCATACCGAATTCAACATGTAAACGGTGTTGATCTTACAACAAAACATAATCATCAATTACGATGAGCTAGTTGGGAGGCTTTTAAAAGAAAAAACATATTTATGCAATATTTTTTATGTTAAACAATGGTGGTGTTCGGGTCAGCTTGATGCACACCTTAACTAATTCACTACGCACTTGCTACCTCCCACCACACTTACCAAGTAACTCAATCTGCCAACACTTAGGCAGATGGGAAGAAGTCAGCTACTGTCCTCTATGTATCCCAATACCTCAACCAACCAAAAGCGCCACGGAATACTAATATAAAAAAGACGATGATCACCGATTGAAATGATGTGGAAGGATATCCTAGTTGAAAAACAAAAAGGATAATCAACCTGATGATCATTTCAGAAATGCTGCAATCATGCAAGATACTCCAACAAATAAAGGCTTTACCTTTTAGGTATATTATTAGAGTTTCTTCACTCAGCTGAACTATCAACTTGAATACATCAGAGCTATTAAACCTTGGTGGCACCAAACCAACATTTATCCCCGTGAAAGTCTATGAAAGAGAAGTTGTGATTTCCAAAGCATGCTACTATGGATGCGATATGGTGTCTCGGGGAATCTCATCATTTAGAGAACTCCTAGTTTGCCTTTGAGTGGAACTTGACAGAGCGGAATGGATAGGAAGTGGTGCATAGTTGATTATAGTCGAGTAACAGAACAAAAGGTTGGCATTCTGTAGATGCTACATAATTCATACATTCAATTCAATGTCACCTGCTGTTGCAATCACCTAATAGAATTAGGCAAAATTGTTCCCTTTAGCAATTCTTTTGAACAAAATATACCATGTAACAAATTTCCAAAAGAAAAACAGTAGATTAAAAGACCTCAGAAATGAAAAATTAAGATATCTGAAGATACAAGGCTTCACATTTAACACTCAAGGTCAAGATGAAGTCTACAAAATCCAAAATTCTAAAATCTATCAATTCTGCTAAAATTGGACATCCTATATCAGATATATATGAAATACAAACTCAGACAGAACAACGAACTCAACTGTTTCAGCTTTCATCACCAAAGAGGCGGCGAAGGCGGGAAACAAAGGCACCAGTGGGCTCACTAGCAGCTTCAGCAAGTAGGCTTTGCTTGATATTGTTCATTCGGTGAACAAGGCCTTCTTGTTCTTCCTTGAGCGCAGCGTTATCCTCCTCGAGGTTGTTTATGCGGTACTTTTGCCCAAGCGATCTCACACTCAGAAGAAGAATTCCTGTCATGGCGAAGAATTGTAAAAAGCTATCTTTCCTCTTCATTGCGTTTGCAAAGAAACCTAACGATCTCTTAGGGTTCTGATAACCGCCGGAAGCGGCGGAGCTCGACGGTGGTGCAGGGATAGCCATCACGGGAAATTGACTTCGGCCGGTTTACAAATTCGACTCCGGTCCACCAAACGCCGGCGGCTTCTGTGCTACTAGTTATTGACTGTATTGGGATAAAATGGAATTTATTATTAGTCCTTTAAGAAAAGCATATGAAGCATTTGATCCCTAAGGTGAAGTTTTGTGCCACTTCAGTCTCAAACTAGGAAAATAGTGTTAAAAATGGAGGGAGGACTTTTTCTTTTGGCCCTTTTAGTATGCTAACTATGAGCTCATACACTTTTGGTACAAAATTCTTTTTATTTAAATTTATTTACTTATTGTAAACACCAATTCAATCTAAATTGAGTAGTGCATTATTGTTATTGGTAACAAAGGATTTTATCATTAATCAAACTAAACAGTCATTACATAAGGTGAATATAGTGTCTGTCATGTCCCTCTTATATACAGAAAATAATAAAAATGAGGATATTGAAATACAACAATAAGCTTTTAAAAATATATATGCTTGATTGGTACCTTTCCTACTTCATGCAATCGTTAATTAAATTTTGATATAAACGATATATATTTAAACAACATGTCAATGATTTTATTACAATCAATTTTGATTACTAAGGTGTTAAATTGTTTTATAAAGCAATTTTTAAACTATGAAGCAAAGCTAGTGCTTCCATGTAAGTGATAGTGGCGGAGCGGACCCACTTGGGTTTACTCGAACCCGTTCGACAAAAAATTACATTGTATATATAATGTAAATTTTCTGATTTATGTAAATATATTAATTTTAAATCCCTTTATAAACAGGAAGTAAGTTGTGCATACATATATCTACAAATAAGTGTGTCATGAGAGATTGATTTAAATTTTTTGAGTTCAATATTTAATAGATAACATATTTGATTTTTTTGTTATCACGTTATCGTTTTTTAACAGTTTGAAGTTTTTTTATTAATGAGTTAGCATGTCTACAAATCGATAACCAATGAGTCAAATCGATAAACTTCAAAACATGACGAATCAAACGATACGCCTAAAATGCGTGTTCTTTTTCATGTTCCTATATTTTATCCTCAATATTGTCAAATTATATATATATATATAAACCATTAGACTTGACTGCATTACTTACATTTTTATATACATATGAATAGTGAAAACAAAAAAAAATAAAATACGAAACACAATAACAAAAAGATTGAATAAATAATGGAGAAGAAATATATTAATTTTTTTAAAAAAGTGCTTTATTTTATATACATATTTGGCTACTCAAGGAAGGTTTCCTTTTATTTTTGTTTGGAAAATGATGTCATGCTGTGTATATTTCATTCATTAATCAACTATTACATAATCAAGATTTCATCAATGACGAAATAAAAATTATTTTGTAACATTCAATGCCAACTCATATACTTTAGCTTTATATATGCATGTTTATTGACATATATAGTAGTATAAAAAAATGTTATTTAGATTGGTTCAATGCATACAAGCTGGCCACAAAATCACAATAATCTGTATAAATAAATAATAATATTACATTATATATACAATATATAAAAGAAAGTAATAAACTTGACAATTCAATAACATTCTTTTCTTGTACATAAAATATTTCTTAATTAATTTTTAATACTAAAAACCAAAAATTTCAACGGTTATCCAATTACAAATTTGATCCGTTGGATCAATAACATGTTCAACGAATCGAAAATTCATTGTTTAGTAATAATATATCTTTTTATATGCTACTTATTTATTAAATACTATCATATGAGATTTGATATTGCTTACTATATGATTTGATAAGCCTAAATTCGTGTGTTAAATAAATAAATTAATTAGAAGTAATATTTTTTAGATATTATTATATAGAGTGCGATACTTAATTTGATTTATCAAATCAAAGATCTGAAGATTGAAATTCAATCATCATTTAACTCGTGCAAAACTAATACCCTCTTATATAGAATGATATATATCATTTTTACCAATAATATCTTAAATTTCTCAAAACAAACATTATCTCGAATTAATTTTTATTTTTATTTTAAAAAAAGAAAGAAAGGAAGAAAAGGAAACAGGCAAGAACATCAATGTGGACTTTAAAGTGGACTCGATTCGATTGTGGTGACCCGAATACCCATCAACCCATATCCGTTTCAGCTGGAGCTCTTGTGGCGTCGCGGCTACAAGCCGGATAAATAAATTCTAGATCCTTCTGGAATGTTATAACGAGCTGGCAAATATTAGATTCGACCCGATTTCCCCTCCGGTTCACATTACGTCATTCAGCTAAATCTCTGGCCAAAGTTGACACCACTCACTCTCCTTTGCTCCTTCCGATCTCAATCTCCGGCGAACTCCTGCTTGTAAGTTTCCGTCGTTATCTCTCCGGCAGAATCATGCTATGATTTTTAATCTGTTGAAAATCAATCGTAAATTAGGTTAAAACTGTTTTTCTATAGTTTGATTCGTATGAATAGAATTATAAGTTTATTGCTCTCTTGTTTGCGTGATGTCTACAAAGTTTTGATGGTTGCTAGTCAGTATTTGCCGTCAGTTTCCTCAACATTTTATCCAAGAAAATGAGGGAAAAAAAGATTAAGGTAATACATATCAATCATCTTTCAGATTTTCGCTGAACTTTTCATTTTGATGAAGTAAGTAGATTCATTTAAAAGCATCAAGAAGATGCAAGCTTTACAAGGATAGCTAAGTTAAGCTCACAACACTAAGGATTTGTAGCTAAAGTCGAAATCTTGCTAGTAGGTTTCCATTGTTATCTCTCCGGCAGAATCATGTTATGATTTTTAATCGCAAATTAGGTTAAAATGCTTTGTATAGTTTGATTTGTATGAATGTTCCAATCTCAATTTTGTGTATTCATTTCATGCTGTTATTGCTTTACAAGCTAATGTACGCTCTTGTTTGCGTGTTGTCTACAAAGGTTTGAATTTTGATGGTTACTAGTCGTCAGTTTCCTCAACTTTTTATCAAAGAAAATGAAAAAAGATAAAGATTAAGGCAATACATATCTTGCCGAACTTAAAGCTTTGGCTGTTGTTTGACCTTATGTGTAGTATCATTGAGGGTTAGAAGTTTGATTCCACTTTTGGATTTGAATTACTGGAATCTCATATGTGCGTTCATGTTTCCTTGATGTATACAAAGTTTTGATGGTTACTAGTTGGTATTTGCGTCAGTTTCCTCAATATTTTATCCAAGAAAATGAGGGGAAAAAAAGATTTAAGGCAATACATATCAATCATCTTTCAGTTTTTTGCTGAACTTTTCTTTTTTGATGAAGTAGAATCATTAAAGGCATCAAGAAGATGCAAGCTTTACAAGGATAGCTTAGTCAAGCTCACAAAAACAAGGATTTGTAGCTTCTTCCTAAACTATAGTGCTAACAACATCCAAGAAGAGTTCTAAATTATTTACAAGGGTCAATGTGGATCAGCTGAAAAGGCTAACTTAGACATCTGCTTCGCAAAAGTTTTCTAGAAGTTGAAACTCCATCAAAACATCGTTTGTTCCTCTTGTCCATAAACACCAAAAGAGAGCACCAGGGATCATCAGCCAGATAGCCTTGATGGCTTTGTCAACTTCCCAAGAACTCCAACTTTCAAGAGCATCCCTAATAGAGAAAGGTATGACCCAAAAAACAGCAAAACATATTCCAAATGTCTGATGCAATTGGGCAGTGCAGTAGCTAGTGGTAGACACTTTCTGTGTGCTTGTGGCAGAAGTAGCATCGGTTGGCAAGCTGGAATTTCTTTTTGGAGAGATTATCCTGTGTGAGGCTTTTTTTACCGAACTTAAAGCTCTAGCTTCTGTATGACCTTATGTGTAGTGTCATTGAGGATTAGAACTTTGATTCAACTTTTGGATTTGAGATACTGGAATTTCATATTTACTGCGACTTAGCCGATGGAAGCTGTATTCATATTTATCACTTGGTTTTAGGTTTGATTCTGGGGAAGTGCTGTCCCATCACCATTTAGATATTGCAATTCCACATAGCAGATCACATGTATAAGATCAACAGGGCAGGTTCCATGGACTAAAAGATATTGTAGGAGCTCACAAAGGTCCATTTATAGGTTAGGCTATCTAGCCTATAAACCATTGTAGGAACTCACAAAGGTCCATTTATAGGTTAGGCTATCTAGCCTATAAACCATTGTTTAGATATGTCAATAACTCATAAATGAAGTCCCAGCTGAGACATAAATGTTGAACATTTACTTATAAAAAGATAAAAGTTGAACATTTAGGGATTATATAGAAAGTACCATTTCAAATGATTGTATTATGAATTTACTAGTCTTGGTTAAAGATCCATTGTTTCGTCTCTTGAGAAGCAAAAAAACAAGATTAAAGGAAACAAGCGCTACAGTATTGAAAAGGAAAGCATAACTAAAGAAATGGCGTAATTTCTTTCTCAAAAAAGAAATTGTCGGCCATGGTTATAAATTGCAAACTTAAGTTGTATGGGCACATCATATGGTGTACCCTAGTTTCCAAACACAATTGGCATGTTGGATAAGATTTTACTGTCTTATGACCTGAATAAATTACTGTTTAATATCTGCTGCTTTTTTCTTGACCTGTGAGAGTGAAAGTTGTGTTCAAGGGATTGCCTGGCCTTCACTGAAGTCCAAAACCAAGTACAAATATGCTGAAAGTTGAGCTATAGAAAAGTGTGTATGAAGTTACAACAATCAGTTTGTTCTCTTAAAAAGCTATTGGTAAATGCCAAGAGAATCCCCATCTCCTATGGGTTTGGTTGAACAACAAAGGTTGTGAAATGTGGAATGCAAAATGTGCCATGTTTTGTATTTAAGTGGAGAAGAGCAGATGTACAAGCCCATTATCCCCAAATTTTCTCGGTCATAATTTTTTTTTGACAATAGAGTCCACAGACCATGCCACTATATTTATTTCATTAGTCCTTTGTTTGTGGTTCTGTCCAAATCTACATATTTATTTGCCACAAATATGCCATCATTAACTTGACATGAGTGAAACGAGGATGCATCTTAAAAATTCAAGTGTTGTCTACA